TCCACTGATTTCGTATTGGAATGTTATATTGCAAAACATGACATGATAAAGAAGAAAATAAATTTTAAAATCAGAAAATAGCATTGCAAATACTTTGTTTTGGACAATTTAGTAACTCCCAATAAATGTGTGTTGTTTAAAACACAATTGAAAAATCAACAGCTGTTTCATTAAAAAGTATTATCCACATGGCCAAAATGTAAACAAATTTGTCGAGGTATCTTTAAAGGCTTCTGGGGTAGAGCCCTAAGGGAATTAACTTCGTGTTTCTTTTGATAACTCATCTACATACCAAGGCCTTTTTTGGAGACCTCTACCAAGTTTCTACGTCCAGCCGTTCTCTCAAATTAGTGGAGACAAAGTTTCCAATTAAATATTTAGATTCCCCCATGTTAATCTTATGGGAGAAACCCCAACCTTGATGGAAGATCCTGCCCAAACTAATAAAGATCTCTGACACTTTAATCATAAAAATCGGTCCAAAAATGTGGGAGGAGTTCTGTTTACAAAATCGGCTTAGCGTATTATATATATAGAAGATATGGTGCTCCCATCTATATCTGGCCTCCATATGATTGTCAGGAGTTTACATCCTAAGTATTTTGCATTGATACTGCTGCCTACACTGTTGCCAATTCTACTTAGGTTACTAATACATTTTGAACAGGAAACACATCCTGCCTCGGGCTCCAAGCACAGACAAAATAATACCGAGCTTCTCATAAAACCACATTATGTTTGACAGAATTCAAGCTTTGGTTTTAACATTCATACTTAAAAAGTGATACTAGTTATTCAGATGGAAATTCTTTGAGCCCAATATAGTATTTTTTTAGAATTTAAATAAACGAATTAATGATCTCATTCCCTTAAAAACGAATACAACAAAACTTTAAGTCCAGCTTTTAAAATGTGACATTTTTGCCTGTAAGTGTGAAATTAAAAATTCCTTTTTAAAGGACCGTCTTAAAAAATCCTCTCTGCCACTAAGAATCTGAAAAATTAACAAACCAAATACTTAAAATTATTAATATTTGAAGATTATTGACTTAAAAGTAACAATAACGATAGAGAGCAATAACAAGTATTTTGTTTTGTAAAATCAAATACGGTCAAAACTTTAAAAGGTGATGATGATCGACTATCATCAAAATCTTCAATCTATCTTCAATCTCTCAAATCTCAATCTCAAAATCTTCAATCTATCATCAAAATCACTATCACTCAAAATCCAACCAAGGCTGTTTATTAGTGATTGATTTCTTGGCGCACAGTCGATTACAATTTGCGTTATATTGTTGTAATTTGTTTGGCTTTCGCTCTCTAATTTTTCGTCCTGTTGCATCATTAAGTAACTAAATAAGCTAGAAAACTATAATAACTTTTGTAGTTAGGGGCAAAGAAAGTTTGCAATTGTGTAACTCATTATATTTTTCCTACAGATACTATAAATCACATAAACAATTAGTCTTTCAAACACTGTACAGCTCGTTTTTAGGTTAGGGTAAATCCAAACATTGAACGGGATGGGAAACTCGTATTCCAGCTGATCGTCGTCGTAAAATCTTGTGTTGACAATTATTTTCAAGCGTACACGGATTACGTGCAAAATAAAAGCACGCTGTTTTGTTTAGTTTGGTTGAAATACTGTTGTGCGCCAAAGTAAAAACTGTGCACCAAAGTAATGGCCATGTCACACCAACATCCGCCGCTCCCGCCGCGGGAGTACCGCGCGCGGATGATTTTCCTCGAGCCATGTCACACCAAGTTTGCGCCCGCGTCGGGAGTTTTGAAATGATTTCATTAAAATAAATTTGTTTTTCATAAGAAACACATCTTACCTGTTTAGTATGCCATTTGCATGTTTCTTCCGCAAAGATTCAGGGCGGCTGAGGGATTAGAACGGTCAGGTGGTGTCCCAGCCCCTAAATTAGCCCTCGCTCGGCCTCTCTGGGTTTTGACCATGAGTCACCCACTAGGCTCAATGCATAGTATGGAAGAATTTTTGTATATCACCATAAAGTGTATTAAATAACGCCAGATTAGTAACCTGAGTTGAATAACAAACATTGAGCCCAAACACGAAATAATTGCGACGATATTAAGTATACATTTGGTTTTAAAATGATAGACAGTTTTTGTGTCGTGGTATGCTTAATATCATCGCAATAATTTCGTGTTTGGGCTCAATGTTATAAGTAGTAAAGTGTTTAAGAAGCAATTGAATGTTTACTTTATGTACTTTAAAAAGTGAACTGTAATAATTTTTAAAATTTAATTTAGACCTTGTGTTCGAAGTGCAAGCATTTTAAATATGGTTGAGGATAAATTATCCACTTTCAGTATTTTAAAAGTTATTTTTCGCTACACTACAAATACTTTTTAATTTTTAAATAAAAACATAAGACAATTTTAAAACTAATGTAATTCTTTTGCTAAGCCTTATATTGGAAGTTCAAGTGTACATTGGTTGTAAAGTTTTGGTTGTTGCAAATTGAAACAGTAGATGAAACAATAAAACATTGTTTGTTTACGTCAGCAGTATAAAAAATGTGATGAGAAACAATAAATTTTCACAGTTAACATTATTTTTGCATGGTAAACAAAAGTGATTTTTTCTGGTGATAAACATATTACGAAGATAATACAAAACAACATATATCATCAAACAAAAGAAACATGTTAAATTTAATTCCAAACTGTATTAAACTGTATTACTTTTAAACTTTAAATAGCTTGGCCATTCGAGATGCCCCTTTGTGCATGTGCTAGACAAAACTCCCGCCGCGGTACTCTCAAAAAATCGCTCAGCAGGCGGACGTGGCGGACACTAGTGCGGTGTGACTTGGCACGTTTGATAACATGGTAAGCGAGTTTTCAAAGTTCGCTCCCCTCGGTGTGACTTGGCCTCAAGGCTTTCTGTACTAGGAGTTGAGCCACCTTGTAACCCAGCAACAACTAGGTGGACAGAGATTTTTTTTCTTTTTATAACTATACTTAATATTCAGGGTTATAAAAAGTTTACACTATAAAAACCTAATCTTATTAGGAAAGAGGATATCTGATACAGACATCAATTTATAAAATATGTGCAAGAAAGCCCAAGTTGTCGGGTGACTGTAGTAAATAGTATATTTTGTACATAGGGCCTAAAATGTGATTTTGCTGGCTCGAAATAGTTATTAAAGTTTGAGACAAAGTCGAGACCTTAAAAAGGGGAGCTGCAAAACCATTTCGGCCCGTAATACGAACGCTATTATTTGCCCCACTACCCTATTACCACAATAATAATACACACTAACAGTCAACAAATCTACGACTTTAAGGTTGTGTGAAGAAATAATTTGAGGAATCGGCGAAAATAATAATACATAGTTGCTAGACAACGGTGACAAAGAACAATGCTATTGCAATGCTATGGATACTGATGTATGGGTATTTTTATATACCGTATGCATTATTTATTGCTTTAAGGAAATAAGCAAACAACTGAGTTTTGGTCCTAGAGATGTAAAACCTGCTTGGCCCCCAAATGGCGATAACAGCTGGCATGGACAGCAATACGTAGCTTTCGGCCTCCAATAAACGCCTGTAAAACAACTAATAACATCGTAGTGTGAAAAATACTTTTATGAACAGGAAAAGATAACCTTTCAAAACGACTTCGAGTTTCGTTTTCAATTCTGCCTAAGTAAATGAGCAGCGCTGTTTAGGACAGCGATTCAATAATTTCTTGTATGATTACGTAGTGTTACTATTCTAATTAAATTTTTAGGTAGGCCTACTAAAATATTTCCATAAATAAGACATAATTATTCCTTATTTAAATAACATTAGATTTACCGAGTGCTTAGGTTTGCTGTTACGGGGAAGGTAATAAGTGTTTTTTGACCATACGTCAATAGTATAGGATGAAATAAACAAATTTGCCAAATTTTATCAATATATATCCATAAACAAGTAAACTACAACAATTTTCATTTTCTCCATAAGAATAACATGGGAATTTACACTATTTTTGAATTTTCTGTGTGACCGTTAGGCATACAACAGCGCTTCAATATACTAAATTATTTATTTTTTTTAAGCTCTAAAAAACGGTTTAAAAAGAAATTGCAAAGTTTTTTGTTTTTATGGTCAAAAATGGGAAAACCCCATTTTTACCCCAAGGTAAAACCCCCCATAAACCCCCGTTCGCATGGTCCGATTATGCTGGATCGCAAACTCGTTTGAATAAACGTAGGTTTACACGTTTTTACCAAATTTCATCAGAATCGGATCATTTTTGCTCGAGTTATCGCGCTAACGGACACATATATATATATGAATTTGAACGGATGGTGTTTTTGGCCTCTAGGGACCTCAAAAAAAAAAATTAAATCGGTCCCGGGTCCAGGTCTTACCATGAGTACTACGGTAATAGCTACTTCCCTATAGGGAAATTCGCTAAAAGACTTGTTATAAAGGTCGACTTCTTATCAAGGTTTGCATAACATTTGATTAGGTCTAAAATAAAATTTTAGGGGATTAGAAAATGACACTTGTTATAAATAGCAGCAAACCGAAGTACTCATTAAAAATTAACAATATTTAAATAGGAAATAAATCTGACCTTGATTCCATCATCTCCGACTACTGTGTCCACGGCTGGACGTATCTAATGGGAGTGCCTAAGTTGGGAGTGTTGGCCTTTATAACATAATAGTTTGTATTTATCAGGAAGCGTGTGCAGTAGGGTTGATGAGACCATGACTCCATCAACTCCGACTACCGTGTCAACGGCTGGACGTATCTAATGGGAGTGCCTGAGTTGGGAGTGTTGGTTTTTGTAACATAATAGTTTGTATTTATCAGGAAGCGTGTGCAGTAGGGATGAAATCAGTGATGAGAGACCATGACTCCATCATCTCCGACTACCGTGTCCACAGCTGGACGTATCTAATGGGAGTGTCTGAGTTGGGAGGGTTGGTTTTTGTAACATAATAGTTTGTATTTATCAGGAAGCATGTGCAGTAGGGATGAAATCAGCGATGAGAGACCATGACTCCATCATCTCCGCCTACCGTGTCCACGCCTGGACGTATCTAATGGGAGTGTCTGAGTTGGGAGGGTTGGTTTTTGTAACATAATAGTTTGTATTTATCAGGAAGCATGTGCAGTAGGGATGAAATCAGCGATGAGAGACCATGACTCCATCATCTCCGCCTACCGTGTCCACGGCTGGACGTATCTAATGGGAGTGTCTGTGTTGGGAGTGTTAGCTGAACTGACAGGTCGAAAGTCTGGCTGTGCTAGAGGCAAGGGTGGCTCTATGCACATGTACTCTCCCAACTTCTACGGAGGCAATGGCATTGTTGGTGCTCAGGTGAGTCAGGGATGTAAAACAATTAAAAAAAACTTAAGATAGATCATAGTATTGTATGTGTAATGGTATTGATACCACCATTGCCCTTCATAGTTCTAGCAGAAAGTATTTGGAACAGATGTTCAGAGGGTTTATTTCTGTTGTATTACCTCCTTGATGGTTTTGTTATGTGAAAGGACACTAACTCAGAATTTGTTAGGCTAATAAAATAACAAAATACTATTACTGTATGCCTGGCTTAAAATATGCTTCTTGCAAGCATGTCAACATAAGTTATCTCTTTCTAAATTAGGCTTGGTTTAATTTGCTTGTTGAATGTAGAAATTAGAAATATTATAATAAATTGTAATCGGTACAGGGTCCATTCAATAAGTATCGAGACTGGTTCACTGTGGCCTCAAAAGAGCAGTGGAGGGGGGTCTGCACGGTTGGGTTCGATAGAGGGATCCTTCCATTCAGGAGCACTTTGATTAGTCGCCTACAAACATTTGCTATTACAGGAGGTCAATATTTGTGCCGTGTGTTTTTTCAATGTGTCGTCACGCCAACATGGCGCGTAGCGTCGAGGAACGTTGTTAAGTTTTGCTTTAGACTCGAAAAATACGCGTAGGAGAACCTGGGCCTCAACTTGAACATTTTTTTTACAATACCGTACTGGAACACCCAGGTAATAACGTTGTCCAGAAAATTTGGATCTTGCTGGACTCAGTACAAAACTTCTTGCAAAACCTCCACCCTTCACAGTTTTTGTTCCTCGCTCAGGACTTTGGTCACCAGCTTCGCGTGGACTTTTCTCATCGCCAAATTCTCCTTTGTGATAGTGTGGACTGTTCTCACTGAAAGGTCAGTCTTCTCACTGGTGTAGGCCATAGTTAGACGCCTGTCCAAAACTTCTTTCACTTTGATCACGTGAGCCGTGGTTGTCAGGCGTTTGACGCGGTACTCTTCTTCGATGAGTTCCCGGCCTTCCTTAAACATTTGGCGCCTCTCAAAAACTCATGTGCAGCTTAAAGCATCATCCCCATAAGCCTGTTTAATTAGGGCAAGGTTCTCTGACACACCGATTTTCCGTGTTTAAAGCTAAATTTCACAGCGTTGCTCGACGGTACGCTCCATGTTGGGGTGACAACACAATGAAAAAACACTCGACGCAAATATCGACCTCCTGTCTCAACAAATGCCCGTATGCGACTAATTTAAAGTGCTTCTATCGAACCCAACCGGTCAGACCCCTATCCACCACTCTTTTGAGGCTACAGTGAACCAGTCCCAATACTTATTGAGAATAACAACAACAATACTTGGGAATATACAATACTTGGAGGGTGTATACATTACAAATTATTGGTTTTTCTTTCCGAGTCAGTTTGGCTCTTCTATTCGCCCAGTTTTCATAATTTTGTCTTAAATTATAAGTGTGCACGCATAGATTTGCCTTCAAGCATAGACATTCATTTAACTTATATTTCAAGTTATGCACAAAAGAAACTTCCTAACTGAATGTTTCTTATGGGAGGTAAATTTGGTATTTCTTCTCCGAGTAATAGTTAAATTTTTACCTCTGGGGGCATTAAAATGAAAAAAGTAAATCGGTCCAAGGGTAAATTGGTAAATCTACCCAAAGTAAATTTGTCTTTTTGTGCCTCCTATGGTAACAACTACTTCCCTATACTGTAGGGAAGTTTGCTAACAAGAACATCAGAAACATAAAAACGGTACGTATACACAAACATTTAGATAGCGCCAGACGTCCCATCTATATGGACCAGCTGTAGCCAATTTTTTGTTAAAAAAGAACGTACTTGTGTGAGCCAGAATGCGCTAGCGACTAAAACTCTATTTTCTACTTTTTTTTATTGCTGGCCGAGTTGATGGGTCATAACAGTATAGGTAGCTCTCAATAAGTAATTCCATTAGTTAGAATTGGTAACAAAAATTTATATTCAACAGAAATCAGTAATTTAGATCAGCACAATCTGTCGGTGGCTCACATCAACTACGACGATTTTGGTTCAAAAACTGGCTACAAATTTAACATGGGAATGGAATGTCTTGTAATAATAGTCAAAGATAGTGCTTATAAGATTGCGGTACTTTAAGTTGGTTTTAGGTTATTGTATTTAAATTAAAACAAAGCTATGTGTTCTTAAAAACCAACCAGGGTGTACGGCAAAACATGAAACTGGAAATTTTTATGGCTGGGTAAAAGTCTGTAAATTGTAATGGCCAATAGCTTATGAGAGAGCGTCCATTCTCCATTCATAAACAGTGCCCTATCGGTTCCCTCTCAATGTTATTGTGTAGTTAGAAGAACGCAATCGTGAGATATGATCACGAGTGTTGCTGGGATTGTAACAAACTCAGATATTTCTGCGATCGCTGGTGGCAATTCTGATGGATGTTGCCATAATCTTGGGAGACATTCTAGGTGTTTTATGATTGCAGGAGCAAAAGATACGGCCGTTTACATTTATTAATTCATTTAGTAATCCAAACAGGGCTCGGCCCTCATTAGTTCAGATTGGCAGAACTCTGGTTTATATTTGTCTGATATGTCATCACGTAACAGATGGGGTGTTCTATCAGAGTTTGTTGCTGATGCAAGTTGTGTTGATGTTATAGGTGCCTTTGGGAGCAGGAGTTGCATTTGCCTCCAAGTACAAAGGCCAAGATGGAGTGTGTTTTGCTCTGTACGGAGACGGAGCGGCCAATCAGGGTCAAGCGTTTGAAGCTTACAACATCGCCAAGCTGTGGGACATTCCTTGCATCTTTGTTTGTGAGAACAACGGCTATGGAATGGGCACCAGCGCGGAGAGGGCCTCCGCCAGTACAGCCTACTACACTCGAGGAGACTACGTTCCTGGCATCTGGGTACAGTAAATTTCACTTTATTCTATAAAACACACAGTCTTTAAACAAACAAAAAAACAACAGTTTACGTAAAAAAAAATTTTTAGAACATGTTTAAATCCTCCTTGTCAATTTGTTTGATTTAGTTCCTCAGTAAGAAATTTTTTTTAGAAGTTTTAATTAATTTTACTAGGGCATAATCCTTTAGCTCTGCTAAAGAAATAGGTGGCATTTATGTAGGGATGGACGGGATTGAATTTTTAGTTCGGGACGGGACGGGACGGGATTTTTATTTCCTTCCCGATTTTCGGGACGGGACGAGACGGGATTTTTTTCTGTGCATAAAAAGAAAGTACTGTATTGCAGTTACCAAAAAAGACATACGAAATCAATTTTTACCATTAGTGGCACTGATCTATAAAAACAAAAAAATGGGTAACAATTTACAGGTACCTATAGAAACTTGTGACTCGCGGGTCACGGGGTGATCGTCTGTACATGACTCACGGTCACGGCGCGATTGTCGTCATGACTCGCGGTCACGGCGCGATCGTCGGTATGACTCGCGGTCACGGCGCGATCGTCAGCATGACTCGCGGTTACGGCGCGATCGTCGTCATGACTCGTGGTCACGGCGCGATCGTCGTCATGACTCGCGGTCACGGGGTTATCGTCGGTATGACTCCACGGTCACGGCGCGATCGTCGTCATGACTCGCGGTCACGGCGCAATCGTCGGTATGACTCGCGGTCACGGCGCGATCGTCGGTATGACTTGCGGTCACGGCGCGATCGTCGGTAGGACTCCGCGGTCACGTCGTGATCGTCGGTATGACTCACCATCACGGCATGATCGTCAGTATGACTCCGCGGTAACGGCGCGATCGTCGGTAGGACTCCGCGGTCACGGCGCGATTGTCGGTATGACTCGCGGTCACGTCGTGATCGTCGGTATGACTCATGGTCACAGCGCGATCGTCGGTAGGACTTCGCGGTCACGGCGCGATCGTCGTTATGACTCCGCGGTCACGGCGTGACTGTCGGTATGACTCCGCGGTCACAGCCCGATCGTCGTTATGACTCGCGGTCACGGTGCGATCGTCGGTCCAATAATCGCGGCCACGGCGCGATCGTCGTTATGACTCCGCGGTCACGGCGTAATCGTCGAAATGACTTCGTCTCCTGCGTTCGCGGACCTATCGCTCGCAATAACGGCGTTGGAAAAATCCGCGGAATAATCGCCGACGATCGGACCAAATCCCGTCCCGAAAAATTCCCGAGTCAAATGTAATCCCGTCCCGATAATCGGGAATATTTTTTTCCCGATAAACTCCCGAAATTTCGGGACCCGTCCATCCCTACATTTATGTATAAGCCACTAGTGGGATTTAGTTTGGAATTAGAAACTTTTGGATCTAAAAATTTCATTAGTGGAAACCACTACCTCGGGAAAACTTGTATTTATTCAACTCATTTCAAAATTATGAAATACAAGCTGTTGGCCTGTATTGTGTCGATTTGAAAAGCCTTGTATTTATTCAACTCATTTCAAAATTATGAAATACAAGCTGTTGGCCTGTATTGTGTCGATTTGAAAAGCCTTGAAGTGAGATTGGCGGCCAATTCACACACATACTGGTATTGAGTACAGTAGCTACATACCACCTTCCATTGTATACTATCACTTACCTTACCTTATCTTACCTCCGTGGCCATAGGTACCTTAAGAGGATTCTGGCCTCCCATTCTCTTCTATCCTCTTCCTCTTGTAATGTAGATCCCAGTCTGGAAATGTCTTTTATTACTTTCATTCTTGATCGTCCAAGTGGTTGTCTACCTTATGGCTCTTCTCGGAATACACTGTTAATAGTTAAAGGATCTTCTCTCCTCCACGTTCGCCCATCTTAGCCATTTTATTTTGGAAAGTGCTGCTATATCTGAGTGATTATACTCTCTCTTATTTTAACTCTGTTCTTCCATATTCTCCAACTTTTGTTATCTTGAACTGGCCCATATATTTTCTATACAATCTATTCTCGAACCCAGCGATAAGGTTTTTCGGCTCTTTGGTCAGGGCCCAAGTTTCTGAACCATACAGTACTACTGGGATGGTAGTAATGGTATGGTATGAATCGGATTTGGTTTCTACAGATTCTACAGACACTCTGCAGATTACTGGACAATTTTCTAGAGACCTACTACACCGGTTTACATTTTCATTACTAAACAAAATGTTGGTATCCCGACTTGCACACATTTGAACATCAAGAAAAGGAAGTATTGATTAAAATATATGTGATAAACGTGTTCGTAAACCACTTATATCTGAAACGATTAGTAGAAGAAGAAATTTAAGCGATAGTTTGCTGAAAGAAATATTTCCGAAACATGAGTTCAAATTTTCATGGCATAAACTTACTCACTCAGATTGCATTTACGACAAAACTTGATTATATGCAAGTGTTTGAGATGTTTAGTTAAAAATTACACATTTCCTGATAACGCAGATCGTTTACGGTAGGAATAAAACACATTAGTATTTTCGCAAACACCGATTCAAATAGGGATCACATCATTTGTCCGAGTTTTCAACTGTCCGAGTTTGTTAAAAATTACAAAATATTTGAAAAATCTTTTGTCCGAGTTTTCAACTGTCCGAGTTTTGATAAATAACTAATAATAATTAGATAAATCAACTGTCCGAGTTTTCATTTGTCCGAGTTTATTAAATTATTTTAAAAAAATATCGAAATATCAAGTGTCCGAGTTTTCAAATGTCCGAGTATGGTTTAAATAATAATAATATTTCGTTAAATCAACTGTCCGAGTTTTCATTTGTCCGAGTTTTTAAATTATTTAAAAAAATATCAAAATATCAACTGTCCGAGTTTTCAACTGTCCGAGTAGAGTCAACATCAAAATGTGACACTGCGCGCCGAAACTAGCGTGTCTAAAGCGCATGATCAGAAGTCGTATTTATTTATTTATTAAGAAAAATTATTTTATTTTTAGTATACGACTAATTTTACAATGATTAATTATAAAATTAAACTCTCATCACCTAACACAACCAACCAGACTTGCTAATAATATAAAATACCCCCGCCGCAGCAAACCTTCAGACGAAGCGAATTTAAACTTGTCTGATAACATATTTACTAAAATATTTCCATAAACAAGCGAGTGCTTAGGTTTGCTGCTACGGGAAGGTAAACAGTCTGTTTTGACCATACGTCAATAGTATAGGATTAAATAAATAAAATTTCCAAATTTGATCAACATATCCTTAAACAATAAAACTAAAACAGTTTTCATCTTCTCCATAAGAATAACATGGGCATTTTAAATTTGCATTTTTTTTATTTTCTCCGTAACCATTAGGCATACAACAATGCTTCAATATACTAAATTATTTCTTTTTTTAGTTCTACAAAATGGTTGTAAAATATATTCCAAAATGTTATGATTTTAGGGTCAAAAATGGGAAAACCCCATCTTTACCCCATAAATCTTCGTTCCCATTATCCGATCATGCTGGTTCGCGAACTCTTTAATTGTATTTGTAACCTAATAGTTAAGATTGTCCAGAGTCAGGTGCTGACTGTGATAAGTTAAGTCTATTACGCGCCACTGTTCTGTAGCTGAGGTCGTTATCACGATTACGCCTCATGTCTATGTTTCGTTGTCGTCACGTCGGAGGCATTTAAAAGAAAATAAAAACAAATAAACAAATTGTAGCTACACAAAACAACGATAAATGCAAAAATTTAAGTTACTATCTTGCTGACACGATCCGTCATAGCAACACAAAACAATGATAAATACACACATTTAAGATACAACCATCTGTCTTGGGGGTTACGTTTATACAAACTCAAAAAATGTACTCAATGTGTTTCATTGAATTGAAAAATAAATAAGCGCAATTAAATTATACAGCTGATCAAAATGTAAGCAATTAAGTTCTCCATAACTATAACATGGGAACCTTCAAAGCCACTGGGGTCAGGGCCCAAGGGACATTTTCAAACATGTAAGGCCAGTTTGCAAATCTACGTGGCACGACCTTTCCAATGAGACGTCAATGGATAAAATCGGTTAAGAAATGGTGGAGGAGTTCAACCAACAAAGTTTCATGTAGCGTTATATGGATAGAAGATAGATACCTCCTCTCGCACAATGCCTGACTCCTTCGCAGAAGGGGTCACATCGACTTCTGATCATGCGCTTTAGACATGCTAGTCTCGGCGCGCAGTGTCACATTTTGATGTTGACCCTACTCGGACAGTTGAAAACTCGGACAGTTGATATTTTGATATTTTTTTTAATAATTTAAAAACTCGGACAAATGAAAACTTGGACAGTTGATTTAACGAAATATTATTATTATTTAAACCATACTCGGACATTTGAAAACTCGGACACTTGATATTTCGATATTTTTTTTAAATAATTTAATAAACTCGGACAAATGAAAACTCGGACAGTTGATTTTATCTAATTATTATTTGTTATTTATCAAAACTCGGACAGTTGAAAACTCGGACAAATGATTTTTCAAATATTTTGTAATTTTTAACAAACTCAGACAGTTGAAAACTCGGACAAATGAACCTCACCCTTCAAATAACTTGTAACATAATCATTTCAATGACCGTATGAACCAGCGGAACCAGCGGATCGTTAAAACAGCACTGAAACGACTTCAATTGTTAACGTCGTCTGCTAGACTTTTTAAATATTTAAACATAATTTCTAAAAAAAACTAAACCCTAAACTAAAATTATGGCATCGACATTCCTTTACTTTCATAATTATGAAATATGATAATAAAGAAAGATAATTATCTTTCTTTCAACACAAAAGTGATTATAATCCGTCAAGTCTTCATTGATTTTTGTTATAAAGTAAAACATATGGATTGGACAAATACTTCTTTAATGGTACATTAAGGATCTTATGTTTTGATTCTAGCAACGTCTGTTTGTGGGTTTCCAAACTAAATTTGTCCAAAAATCTATCAACTAATTTGGCCGAAGTTTTATGAATTAATACTTTTGGAGCTAACTAATTGATTTCGGATGCCAGTTGCAAGAGTCCTTAACACGTTCAGTGCGGCATACCCTTAAACAGGTGCTTGCCTCGCTAACTAAATCAGCGATCGCTATTGGTATTGAAATATCTCAGTAAGACGAATCACAAAAGAGCAGTTGTGATTGTTCTGCGTTACCCCGAAAGTGGACGTAGTTCACTGAAACACCCAAAGGTAGCAGCACTGCCTGGATCAATAACCAGAGTCTTTGTAAAATGGCTCAAATAGAAAAAATTAGTGAAAACGGGACAAAAGCATTGCCGGACAGGATTTTACGGGAAATTTTAGTACCAACCTACACCAGAATAAAGCTCGCATTCTAAGCTACAACCATTTGGCGCATAATAACGCTTCAATATACTAAGTTTTTTTTAAGCTCTAACAAATGGTTTGGAAAGAAATTGATTAATTTTATGTTTTTTAGGTCAAAAATAGGAAAAACCAATTTTGACCCCATAAAACCCTCCAAAAACCCCCGTTTCCATGGTCCGATCATGCTGGTTTGTGAACTTGTTTGAATAAATGTAGGTTTACACGTTTATATCAAATTTCATCAAAATCGGACCATATTTGCTCCAGTTATATATATATATATATATATGAATTTGAACATATGGTGTTTTTAGCCACTAGGGACCTCAAAACGAAAAAGTAAATCGGTCCCGGGTCCAGGTCTTACCATGAGTACTACGGTAATAGCTTATTCCCTATATGGGAAATTTGCTAAAAGTATAAATTGTAATAACAGCAATGTTGGGGAAGTTCTTTTAAAATGTAGCTAGCTACAACTACGGTACTGCTACATTTCCAAAAAAGTAGCTTAGCTACAGCTACAGCTACAGTTCCGAAAAAGTAGCTAGCTACAACTAAAACTACAATGAAATGTAGCTATAGCTACAATTTTAGCTACTTTTCCAAAGACGTTACTTTTATTCCACGCACATTAGGTAAATGTAAAATTAATTGCAACAACGATTTTATTGAACAAACACTCTAACAACAAAATATCGGTATTGTATCTAATATTACTTGGAAAACAACTTATTCCTAGATTTTATTTAATTTGTTGGCATCATAGAACTAACATTACAACAACACAACCAAAATAGTTGAGTACCATCATATTTAGTACTTATTTTTCAATATTGCATTATTTTTAACCCTTCCAGGGCTTAATTAAATTAAGGGCTGAAGCTTAATTATTTTTTGCCAAAAATTAAAAACTAAAGTGGTTGTGTTTTGTATTTATTTCACTCTGAAATAATTCATGGATCATAAAAAGATTTTCCTTAGGGCTAAACTAATTTTTGTAAAAAATTTATGAAAAAATAAAATTTTATTTGACGGATATATTTGTCTTTGGCCACAAAAAACATATGGTGGGCGGATATATCCATCTGCCGCCCTCAGTGATACTCACAAAATATGAACACTGCCAATAATCTTGAGTATTCTTGTGGGCGGCAGACGGATATATCCGTCAACCTTAGGTTATTCCTTCCCTTGTTTTATTTTTTATCCATAAAAATTATCTAACATTCTGAAGTAAATCTAAACCACTCAGTTCCGCTCTCATGTCCTCAATCCCATTCCCCGCCAAGACTTCCACTACGTAAAGACTGTTCTTCAGGTTCTTCATATCCATCACATTCCTTACTATTATTTTCAGTGCCAAGTATAAAACCCCTCTCAGACATACTTTTATTAAGCATCTCAATAACCTTTTCAAATTTCAGATCGTTTGCATTAGTAACTTTAGCTCAAAAACATAAAAATAAATAAAAATAAAAGTACAAAACACAAAATGTAAACATCACTCACTAACAACCATGTGTGAAGTGACCGCAATATTTACTTACGCACACTCTATGGTGCATAATAGCCGAAACAGCTGCGACAATTGTTATTGCCGACCACAAAAACCAAATAACCCATTTATAATGCAGTGTAATGTTTATTACCGTATTATAAACATTGTATATCAATTCGTTTTTTGGACGGATATATTCGACTTTATCCCAGAAAAGAAATTTCTCGGGACGGATATAGCCGTTTTCAGCCCGGAAAGTAAACAAAGATTGACGGATATATCCGTCCATAGCCCTGGAAAGTTTAAGCATCTTATATGTAAATTTCATTCAATCAAACTATATATTAGAAGCTCATTTTATTTCTTTAATGTACATTCATTTATATATGTCTTATATCAACTATCAAAAACAATAAAACTGTAAAACGATTGTTTGAAAATACTTTTTTGTGTTACAGTGCCCAGCCTACTGAAATTGGAGTTGATTGCCTTTCTTTGTTTTTAATGTTAAAACCGACATTGCAATAACTTTTAACCATACTGATAAGTTACTTGTTTTATGAATAACACTTATTAATGTCAAGAAATCGTCCTTTGTCATTATGCACAGGGCAAATTGTGCTTCAACAAACGTTGGTGCAGAAACAGTATTCAGCAACTTATCCTGAAATCGGCTTTTTAATTTAAACATGTTGAAAATTGTAAAGTAAAAATAACATTTAGGCCTAAGTTACTTGGCTATGTAACAAGTTGGCTATAATGGGCTTGTGCTTACAAGGACTAAATTTCTATTAATTGAACTTGGTATTCGTATTAATCCAATAGCATAGCCTAGGAATAGTCCTTGACAAGAGCTGTTAGCAGGAGCAAAGCAAACTAACTTATGTTGTTTTTTTTTTCAATGTAAGTTTCATGTTATATGGAGATTTTTTCGTTACAATTATTATGTAGTCTAGACATATCTTAAATCTCATCAGGTAATTTCCTCTTCGTTAATTTAGTAAACTTTTGAAAAATCTTCGTAATCCAACCAAGAAAGGGCTTGTGATGATGAACCACAATCAACAGCTGAAGCAAAGGTTGATAGACCAGCTTTCTCATTATTTTAAGGTTTACTGTTGGTTTCTATTAAAACCCAAGTTGAAACTATCGACAAAATAAAGAAACTAAATTAATTACTAATTTCCCTGTCAAACACTTGCAAGCATTCAGCTTCTTTTGTCACCGGTAACGTTTAAATGTCGTCTGCATCTAGCGATTTTATTTTATCTGACTGTAATCATAGAGTAAGCAAATGAAGGAAATAAGAGCCAAAAATGTGGATAACACTCAGATAGTGGCCTCCATTTCACACAACGTTGTAAGAGGTAAGAAACAGCTGCGACCAGCTGTATGAAGCCAAGAAAGTAGGCCTAATTTTCTCGAAAATCTCAGTTTGTAAGAGGTTAATTCACGCAAGGTTGTGATAAAAGTCACTATCTCAATTTATGTTATAATAAGCTATTAATATTTTAGCACTAAGCTATTAATATTTTACTAAAAAACACACTTTATTACCCTCCCTGTAGGCAACAAACCTAGGTACTCATTAAACCTAATGTTATTTGAATGATTTAATTGAAAATCAAATCAGGCAAATGGAAATTTGCTTAGTCTGCAGGTTTGCTTGGTTACCCCTGCTGCGGCAGGGGTATTTTATATTTTTCATCCACTGTTTTCGGTATTGGTGAGCGTATAAAAGTACAATATGTACTTAAGCATGATAAAATATTATTCCCTACATTTTCTTAGACTGCACACATAATATGTTTACACATTGCAAAGTTATCAGTAATACTGCAATTTAATTTATATAATACGTGAAGGTGATTTCTACGAAACACTACTCCTCCATTAATAATGGACGGATTTTGACAAACGATGTGTCAAAATTAACTATTTTTTGTGTAGACGCCCCCTTTCACCAATTCCTGTAACAAAAGTCCTTGGGCTTTGCCCCACAGGCCATCAAAATCCCAATGTATTTCTTATGAAGAATAGATTTTGTTTACTTAAACAGACGAATAATTTGTATTAATTACAGCTCTTCATAGTAAACACATGATACACTCGTTTTCATAAGCGTTCGTTTTCAGAGTGAGTTAGTCTTTAGTTTCGATAACTGGAGTGGAGTGATTTATTACATTATCTTTGAGTTGACTATTTTAAGCCATTGGAAATTATGACTATTATTTGTTTTGTAATAACGCCTGTAATTCTTTGCAATTGCTCAAATTCGAGCAACAGGTGCACTAGTTAAATTTATTGTATGTTGTAATGAATACATTTTTATGGTGAATTATAAGTGTGCCTGTTTTATATACTTTTAACTGTTAAACCTATTAAACGTTCCGAGCCTTCTAGTACTTTTATTAAAGTCAATTAAGATTTTCATACAAAAAGGCTAGATTAGTTCCTAATATAACTTAAAACTACTTATAGGTCAAATGAACTTTACATGACTAATTGCTGGTTACTGTGTAGGTTGATGGCATGGATGTATTAGCTGTCAAGTCAGCTAGTCAGTTTGCAGTAGATTATTGCAAGTCAGGCAAGGGTCCTCTATTGATGGAGACTGCCACCTACCGCTACAGTGGACATTCCATGAGTGATCCTGGTACTTCCTACCGTACTCGAGATGAGATTCAAGAGGTTCGCCAGACTCGAGACCCCATCACCTCATTCAAAGATAAGATTCTCAACTCAGGCCTTGTAACTGCCGAAGAACTTAAGGTAGCTATAAACAAATTAACAGAAGAACTCAGCATATATTTATATAGTAAATAAACGGACATGTTATTTAAGTTATTATCAAAATGTATATCACAGAGAGCTGATTATGTAAACATATTGGAATCTGAAGTCATTGAGATATTTAGGCCAGCTGCATACATTAAAACAAAGAGAAACAAGTAGACACTTTGGATACATCTTCTTCTACTTCTTTTTATGTAGATTGTTTATGGAATATCTTTATACATATTTGCCAAATTTACCTATTTTACAGTTGGCCTAAAAAATTATTCAAACAAATATTATAATTAGTTTGTGTTAGTTTACACGTTTTCTTCAAAACGAGTATTTAAAGAATAAGTATGTTTAACATAGATCATAGGGCTTAGGTTATTAGGATTTTTAGTGAGAATAGCAGGCTTCTGAATGGGAAATAGTCCAAACTGGCACAACAAACACACAACTTTATACTATATACACAACACATTAGAGTATTTCACTGTCACTGACACTATTTTCAACTAAGGAAGAGAGTTTTTCAGACCTAATGGTGGCCAGCAAGTTAAATAGAAGAATGTTTATAAAAAACCTCTACTTGCCTGAAAGATACAATATCACCTAATGTGTTATTATTGTAAATTGATGTTACGTTTACGTCATTTATAGAAATTCGATGGGGAAATTAAGGCCCAAGTTGATGCTGCTGTGAAATCTGCCAAATCTGACCCAGAAATAGGAATGGATGAACTTCCTGCTGATATTTATGTTGAGAACTTGGAAGGCAAGATCCGAGGAGTTTTACCATGGCAGCTTCTGGACCACAAGCGTATTGGCCCAGCTGTCAACGCCTAACTCTGCATAACCCTCGCAATAACTACACTCTGTTACAACCAGGCTAATCAGTGAAACATGGTACAAACTGCAAACCTTTTGTAGCGTTGGTATGAGAATTATGTGTTCAATATAGGATTATTAATGTAAATAAGCTTTGTACAAGGTAACAGTTACCGGACTATTGTGTTTTATAAATTTGTTATTTTGTTATTCTTTTGGTGTATACAATAGAAATTTTACAAGTTTTTATCTGAAAAAAAGGAATTTCATTTGAGAAGATCAATACAGCACAACCTTATGTGTCAAATACACAATATTTAAAGTCAACTAAGTAAATATTTGTGTTTTTATTATTCCTTCTCTCTATGCAGTGTAATTTTGCTTTGCCTTGTGTAAATCTGCTTACATTTTTGTTTCTTGTTCTTTTACTTTGATAACTTTTATTTTACAGTTCAAACTTTATTTTGCAGTCGCTTTTCCTACAGTTTTTGGCCAGAATATTATAGAATTTGTCTGTTACTTTGTTTAGAAACATATTACATTGGGCAATCTGAATTAATCAAGTGTTGATGTAATAGCAATTGAGATTAATTTGTTAAATCAATCACATAACCCTAATTTAAAATTTATATACTTCTTACCCCATACTTCCATAACAGCTATACCAGCACATCTACGGTTAGGGTGATGATTGATCAAATACCTAATGCCAAGAGAATGTTTTAAAGGAATGTATTCCAATCATTTTACTGTTAAGTATGTAAATTTGCTTTTATATCAATATTTGTATGGGGATTCTGCACTTAGTTCATTCCAAGTGTTAATTGTTATTACCTTAGCTTTACGATAGATTTTAAATCTAGGATATGATAGGCTATTTGCATTTAATTTTTTATACATATTTCTTTTTAATAATTATAGAAAGAGATCACTTCTCTCATAAAATTTAATTAATATTATCTGCGCAAAAAAATTACAAGTCAGTGATAAGTTAATGGTTTTCACTTAAAAACAGACAATTTTCAATTGAACTCAGAGCAATAGAAAATTGAAAATTAATTCAAATATATATAACGGATTTTGAAGTCACTAAGTGACTGCTAGTATTAATTATTCTTAAAATACCTTGTTATTCTTTTGATAGATTATCGATTCACTAATATAATATTAATTACATTCTTTTATTTGTTGGTTTTATTTAAATCTTTTAAGAAATGTTAAGTATTGAGTGATACATCCACAAATTTATTTTTTGTCTTAAGTCTTAAGTCAAGATCAGATTTCAAAGAAAATTCTCCTGATTTCTCTAATTGTATGTACAACATGCAGAAATGTTACATTTTTATACTGTACAAAGAATCTGTATTTATTGATTCTTGGTTTAAAATCAAGAGTCGATTGTTAGTCTTTGTGTTGAACATTCAAAATGTAATACATAAGGAAATAAATTGATGATATTTATTCTCAAGAATTTATTCCCTTTACTGTATTCATAATAAATTTATAATGGAAACATGGTTGTCAAATAATTGTACAGGGTGAATAAAAAGTCGAGACCCCCCTCTCTAATATTTTTTCAAGTAAATATACAGAGATATCCTTTTGGTGGTCGAGCAATCTTAGCAGGAAGTTTCATTTTATCATTTTGAAATTTTTGAGTGTCCCCCCAAAAGGGGGGATTTGGGGGGCAACTCAAATATTTTAAATGTAAACCCCCTTCAAGTGACACCTCATTTTGAAGTGTTTACAAAAACTTAAAGAATAGTGAAAACTAGAGGTCACTATCTCTTCTCTATCCAAAATGGTAGCCCGTCAAATGTTGTGGAAAATCAATGGTAAAATTGTTAATATTGGTTGTCATTTTAAATAGAGAAGAGATAGCGAGCTCTGGTTTTCACCATTCTTTAAGTTTGTTTAAGCACTTCAAAATGAGGTGTCACTTGATAGGGGTTTCTATTGAAACATTTTTAGTTGTCCCCCGAATCCCCCCTTTTGGGGGACACTCAAAATTTTTAATGTATTTCCCCTTCAAGTGATACCTCATTTTGAAGTGTTTACAAAAACTTAAAGAATGGTGAAAACCAGAGCTCGCTATCTCTTCTCTATCCAAAATGACAACAAATATTTACAATTTTACCATTGATTTTCCACAACATTTGACGGGCTACCATTTTTGATAGAGAAGAGATAGTGACCTCCAGTTTTCACCATTCTTTAAGTTTTTGTAAACACTTCAAAATGAGGTGTCACTTGAAGGGGGTTTACATTTAAAATATTTGAGTTGCCCCCCAAATCCCCCCTTTTGGGGGGACACTCAAAAATTTCAAAATGATAAAATGAAACTTCCTGCTAAGATTGCTCGACCACCAAAAGGATATCTCTGTATATTTACTTGAAAAAATATTAGAGGGGGGGGTCTTGACTTTTTATTCACCCTGTATAGTAATACATTTTGTCTAATGATTGTAATAATAACAGCTCTGGTTCTTATATTTATTTTTATAGGTATTGACCCTAACCAAGATTAACAATCAAAATAATTTGTGAAATTTATTTTTTTAAGAGGGTGGTGGCCTCTTTTACTCTGCATTTGCCTGTCCACATGGGCCACAGAGGCCTGTGCATGGAACCAGCAAAGTAAGGGGTGAGCCGGTACATTACAAGAACAGGCGTGAAGTGTACTGGTAAAAAGAAGTGGCAGGTACCAGGATCCGAATCCACGACATCGTTGATTTGGGCCCGAAGTCCGTGGTGCTACCGATTGAGCCATCGACTCTCCAATGACAAAGAATTATTTTTTTCTCTACAATGACGTAAAAGCAATTGTAACTGTTGAAAATGCCTGCCTTTTAGTGAATTTCCCATATAGGGAATAAGCTATTACCGTAGTACTCATGGTAAGACCTGGACCCGGTGTTCAGTAAACTTAAACCATTCATATAATTTAACACTCTATGATTTATTTAATGTACAATATCTTTTCCTTGCAACATGTGTTCTTAATCAAATTAAATTATTCTCTATTGTTAACATATGTTGTGTATCAAAATGTAAATAAAACAGAGTTCTTGTTTTCTTGTAACCATTAAATGTGTGTTCATTTCTCTCTCTCTCATATTCATTAATCTCAATATCTCCATCTCTCTACATAATATTACCACTCTGGTCCTTCGAACTAATTCTCATTAAACCCTTTCTCATTTCTATTCCTATTCCCCTTTCTCGATCATTCCCTATAATTTAATATCATTCATTCTCTACAATCATTCACCCGGGACCGATTTACTCTTTCATTTTGAGGTCCCCAGAGGCCAAAACACCATCCGTTCAAATTCATATATATATATATCCGTTAGCACGATAACTTGGGCAAAAATGATCCGTTTTTGATGAAAATTGTAAACGTGTAAACCTACATTTATTCGGACGAGTTTGCCAACCAGCATGATCGGACTATGGGAACAGGGGTTTATGGGGGGTTTTATGGGGTAAAAATTGATTTTTCCCATTTTTGACCCTAAAAACGTACAATTTTGCAATTTATTTCAAACCCGCTTGTAGAGCTTAAAAAATAACAAATTTAATTTAATATATTGAAGCTTTATAAAATATTCCAATGTTATTCTTATGCTAACTGTATTTTGCTTGTTTATGAACGTATTTTGATCAAATTTGGAAAATGTATTCATTTCATACCTACTAAACTATTAACATTTGACAAAAAAACACGTTTCACCCTCCCTGTTGTTGCAAACCTAAGTACTCGTTAAACCAATAATGCTATTTAAATGGGGAAATAGATGTGGTATATTTAAGGAGAGCGATATTTTGGAGTTAATCCAATCAGGCAAATGGAAATTTGCTTAGTCTGCAGGTTTGCCCCTCAAACTTCTTTAGAATCCCCTAGAATATTATAGGAGGGCATTTTGTACACTTTCTGTAGACTTAATATTTACCGTGATGCAGCTTTTCAAACATTATTAATATTTTCGTACTTTGCAATTTTTAGCAATATTTTATTGATTTTCACACTGCATCTTCGGGAAATATACCCTCCTATAATATTCTAGGGGATTTTAAAGAGGTTTGAGGGGCATATTTATCGTCAGATTTTGGCTTTTCATTATATGAGTTCAGGGAGAAATCTCAAAATTTCCTTTACAACTGGTAGTACAGTCAATCCATATCCAACGTGGACAAAAATTTTGTCCGAGGAATTTCATGTTTTGTTTTTTGAGGTGCCGAATTTGAATCTGAAGTTGTCCATAAAATATTTCTTGAGCGTTCTAAGATATTCGCAAAAATAGCGAAATTCTTTGCACTTTTTTCAGGTTTTATGTTATAAGTCGAAAACTAGCCACTTTTACCACATGTGGACCTGATTGATCCTGATGACGACCACGAGGAACTCGACGATCACAACCTGGAAGTGGATGATCGCCAGAGCCACAGCTAGGACCATCTCACTTAGGGCCTAAATGCCCCTCTGCTGAGCACTTGATTATGTGTACAATGTGTAGATATAATGTAAATTATGTAGAGATAATTAATATAAATTTGTGTTAATAAATGCTAATCATAATCATGGAAACAGACCTCTCAACATCATTTATCACATTCTGCACAAGAAAAGTAGAACAGAACTGAGGAGTGAGTGGTGGGGGGGGGTAAGGGGGTTGAGATGGTTATGGGGTAGAAGGGGTGCGGTCATCAACTTCCATTTTGTATATGTGGTAAAAGTTGCTATAATTCTTAGTTTTCGACTTATAATATAAAAACTGAGACAAAGTGCAAAAATGTTGCTATTTTTACGAATATCTCGTTAATTTTAATTAAATAAACGCCTGGAGATACCATGAATATTTGAACCTACATACCAAATTTCACCAAAATCTGACTACAGGTCCCTAGTAGCACAAATATATATTAAATACATATGAATAAATATATTTAAAATCTATTTTATATATCTCAAGTGTGTATTATTGTCAATTTTATATCATATTTAAAATATATTAAATATATAAAAAATATGTTTTTGAATCTATTAAATATTTAAAAAATATGTTCCAATAATAGGCTATATTTTAGTGAATAATATTTAAATAAAAAATGTATTTAATATCTCTTTCAAACATACCATGGGGCCTAAACATAAAAACATAAAATAATGAAGATTTAGTATGAAAAGCACAATTATCAGTTGAGTAAATTGATTAAATAGTTCATAAAAACAAATTTTGAAAAAATTACTGGATAAAATTTTGTTAGCCCGGGTGGGTCTTGAACCTGGGTCCTTCGACTTATGAGCCTCTTACCTTACCTCTGAGCTACTT